CGGGGAAGGGGCCACCTGCAGCCTCTGGGGCTTCAGGAAGCAAAGCTACGGGGGGACGAGAGGGGGGGAGATGCCTGCGACATGAAACCGGGGTGCTGGGAAAGGCTTCTTGTCCGCAGCACTGCTAATTCGTTCAGTGACCTTGAGCGGGTCCTGTGCCAAACTTTGCACATGTTCGCGGCCTTTGTAGCACATCGGGCTTTTTTGTCTGGCCAAACATAAGCTCTGATGGCTTTACCTATAAGGCGGGAGGGTGGCGTGCTGCCCAGCTCCTGCGCATGGCCTCCTGTGTACAGGAGGTGGGGGCAAGGCAGTGGGAGGCTGTGGGTCTGTTGGGAAGTACTGGCCTTAGAGTGTCTTTGCCTCGTTGTTTACAGAGAGACAGCTGCTCATGGAGGAACTGCAGATCTTCAGTGAGGCTGGTTTTATATCCGCTTCCATCCTGGGGTAAATTTAAGGAGTGCCGCGGTAAAGACTTTGAAACCGAAGTTGCCTACTTAGACCAGGTTCGGCGTAGCATGGCACAGATAAAAGGCTTCAGATTTGAGAGACTTGTAGTGGATTTGTTTGATCTCGTGCTTTCCCACTTGAGAGGATCTCCACAGGCAACCGTGTATAGCAGTTGGAGCTTGGAAAGGCGGCCTCACCGCCTGCTTCTGGATGGTTCCCAGGCCATCGGGCTAAGGCATTAGTATGCTGAGCACAAGACATCCTTGGCCAGGGATACACAAAGGCTCTGTCTTTATTTGCCAAAGAATCATATTTCGATACAGCTGCAGCAAAAACGGTTTGGAGAACGGATTGATGCGACTGCGTTAAGAAGGAGATAAATTGGGGGGGATTCGTACTAAGTTGTGGTCTGTGTTTAGAAGAGTGAAGCTGTGTTTTGTAGGTCATACCACAAACTAGCAAGAGAGCAAAAGCAGGTATAGTCTGCTTGGTAATCCTCTGCTTTAATTTCTAGGCAGAAACTCAAGAAATGCTTTTCTATTCATGGTGAGAAGTCACCATCTGTATAGATCTATTGAAGCGTAGTTTTGGCGCAGAAACTGTTCAAGTGTTGAAGTGCAGAATGGCTCCGTGTCCTGGGAGGGAAGCTAGTGTACTTGTATTTCGTTTTGGAAGGCAAGACAGTTCTTTTGAGATTTAGCAATTACTTTTATATCGATCTCCCCAAAATTATTTGAAAGATCGTCATAGAGTTACTGAAACTGGATGCGATGGGATCGCTGCTCTGAGCCAGGCCTTAGATTTAATGTCTGGAAGAATCAATGCTCTGAGCAAAACTCTTGTCTTGGCAGAACAAGAATTGTGGCCATGGTGGTCAAATCCAAGTGTTCCTGGTGATGCCAGGATGCCTTCCCTCTTCGCCTCCTCACAGGAGGAACTTAGGGCTTTAATTGTTTGCAAGCCCTGGGATTAAAGTGACGTCTTTCTAATTTAGATCCTGAATGAAAGTAGTTATTAGTAAGAGTCCAAAGAGAGTAGTTAGTTCCTCAAGGAGGTTATCGCTAAAATTCTAGAAACAAAGCACTATAGCACATAAAACTAAATAAAAATCAAGGCTACTTTTAAATTATTATTTATTTGTTTTCCTTATTGCAGCAATGAGGATTTTTCTTAGCAGGTACACCTTACCTTTCACGTGGGGAGCTCTGTTACGTGTGGTTCAGGTTTTGGGTGGCAGAGGAATTTGGAGCATGGACTAAACCTTCAGGCTTCACCGGGAAATTGCATTGGCTAGACTTTATTTTATTTTTTTTATAAAGTATTAAGCTAGTGAGACTCCTAACAGGAACAAAGTAATGTTTTCATAGGTGCTGTGTGCAGGTAATTCCGGTGTAGGAAGCTTTATGCTGTCTAATTATGCCCGTATTAGTGAACCAGTAATACTATAATTATAATTAAAGCAATGCAATTTTTGTTTAGACAAGCCATGATATTTGTTATGCATTATCTGTCAAGTCAATTGACTGTAACAATGAAGTGTAGTTTTCTTTCTGCTAGGTAACATAGGGTTTCCCCCACCCTCCCTGTTGAACCCGGATGCCCTTGGGTATTTTTAACTTCACTGTCCATCAGCAGGAGCCGTGGCAGCCTGTAACACTGTTTGCTGATGTTAAGCAAATACTTTGTTGGCAGATAGGCAATGAAATGGTCTGTTAATAGGACCCCCCCATCCCCCCCCCGGCCCTAATTTCATAATCGTCACTTCTTCTCCGTGCCAGAGGTAATTAATTGCCAGTTGTTTCGTTATTGCATTTCTAACCAAATGGTTCTTGACTGTTTGAGCTCTCTTCGTGAAGCCTGCAATTTGGAGGCATTTATGCTTTGGCCTTTCTGCATTACACTGATAATGTAAAATGGCCCCCCAATTGGTGCGTGGTGTTGACTGCATCTCATATTAAATTTGAGTTCTCACTCAGTCTAGATGCAAAGTGAATCTGTTTTCAGATCTCTGGGTTTTGGCACACTTGTTCCAGCTTCTGCATTTGCAAGTGGAGCTACTTGGTATTGCTCTGCTCTCCAACGGTTCAGCTTATGCCTGTGCACCGACTTCAAATCCCCATTTACCAGAGCCTGGAATATAAGCTGTGATGCAGCTGCAGTCAAGCCTTTCTAAAAATTCAGTCTGTTATTTCTGAAGACCTGTAGGCTTTTTTTGAGATGGAAAGAAAGTCCTTGTGGTCAGTAAAATAATCAGTTTCATGTTGGGTTGATTCTTGGAGATGCTCTTGTCTTTTTACTTGTATATGCCTGTCCCTGCAAGGTTAGCTTTTTCCAAGTTTGGTTAATCATGCACCAAATTGGAGCAAATTACAGCCAAAAGGGAGGTGGGTGGAACTACCTTGTCCTGGGGAAGCAGTTATTGGTCACTGCCAGGACGTGAGTGCCTGTGGGATGAGATGCAGCGATCGCACATCAGGGGCAGGAGCCAGGCTCGGGAAGGTTCTGCCGGAGGAGGCTGAACCAGGACATCCCCTCCTTGTCCCTCGGTTCCTGGGGCTCTGAATGTTGCCAAAATTGGAAGGGTGGCAGGTTTGTGAGTGTGTTATCATACCAGAAGCAATGATGCAGTATTGGAAGTCAGGATGAACTTAGCTGAAAAGCACAGTTAGGCACTGCTCAACTGAGAGATCTCAGGGCTGTGATTTTTTTTAACCCTTTCTTTGCAGGGTCTTGGTCATCAACGTGGAGAATCTACGTGGCTGTTTGCATTTGCCTTGTTCTCCCATTGTTGCTCCTTTTCACGACCTACTCTTCCCCCTTCCCTGCCATCACCCTCCAGCTTTAGGAAGATCAAAATGGAAACGCCCAGAAAAATGTGTCTAATTTGTGCGGGGAATCTGGGAACACAAATGGAGACTTGTCACTTCCTTCTTTGTACAGAGCCTGGACCTGAAAAGTGACATCCTGACATCTAGGAACATCACAAACCCGGAATGACTGGGAAGAAGCTGCGTTGGTTGACAATCCATATTCCTACGTGTTTGTTAAAAGGTAGCGCTTGCTGTTGGAGCAGCGCTTTTCCTCTGTGGATCTCAAACTGCTTTGCAAAGCCTGACAAGTTTTGCTTTGCAGCAGAGTAGTCTGGACTGTAGTGAGAACTGCCACGTGGGCAGACTGCTGTTAGTTTAACAGGTAGCTACGGTGACATCAGAAGATGCCGCCATCAACCCCGTGATGCGGCCCTGCTTCCTGAGGTTACAGTCCCAACGCTCTGCCAGCAGAATGATTTATGCAAGGGCTCTCTGCTTACTTCAGGAAAATCGGCAAAGTTAGGTGACGTAGGCTGCTTTAGCTAACTTAGGTGCTTCATCATCTGCTGAAAGTGTCTCTCATTTCGGATGCAGCACTTCCAGTCTAGTCAGTCAAGATAGGAGGGCTGAGCTTGCATCTGCTCTGTACTTTTGAGGTAGATCTGGGGCATACCACCTCTCCTACCCCACTCCGAGGAGTCATGGAGGACAAACGCAACATCCCCATCATTGAATGGGAGCACCTGGACAAAAGGAAATTCTACGTGTTTGGGATTTGCATGACTATGATGATCCGGGTGAGCGTTTACCCGTTCACACTCATCCGAACACGGTTACAGGTTCAGAAGGGCAAGAGCCTATACAATGGAACTTTTGACGCCTTTGTGAAAATCCTGCGGACAGAAGGGACAGCTGGGCTCTACCGTGGCTTTTTGGTCAACACTTTCACCCTGATCTCCGGACAGTGCTATGTGACGACGTATGAGCTCACTCGAAAGTATGTGTCACGGTACAACAACAACAATGCTGTGAAGTCTCTGGTGGCAGGTGGCTCAGCCTCCCTGGTGGCCCAGAGCATCACGGTACCCATCGATGTGATCTCTCAGCATCTCATGATGCAGAGGAAGGGGGAAAGCATGGGCAGGTTTAAGGTGCAGAACCAAGATGGCAAGAGGATGCTGGTCTTCGGCCAAACCAAGGACATCATTGTACAGATTTTCAAAGCCGATGGCTTTAGAGGCTTCTACAGGGGCTACGTGGCCTCGCTGCTCACCTATATTCCCAACAGTGCAGTCTGGTGGCCCTTCTACCACTTCTATGCCGGTAAGTGAAAGGACACTTTGAATATATCTTATCCCAGGAGACCTAGAAGCCCTTCAGATCGACTCTGAAACGGTGGACCCAGCATGATTTGCTTTCTGTCTTTGATTTGGAGTGGGAGCAGAACCTGTCTTGAAACAAATAGCTGTATCCAATTTAAACGAGTTCTGCAGCTGTTGGGTGGAAGTTTACCAAAGCAGCATTGTTTTAAATGTGGAGTTGAAGAATAGCGGTTAGAGTACTAGAGGACTTAAAACTAGATGGCTCTGGGCAAGAGGGACTTGATGCGTCTGCTTTAATTTTCTCTTCCGCTAGTCCCAAATAATGCTTACTTTCTACACGGAAGTGAGGAAAGCTGTTGTCTGGCATTGGGCAGAGTTTCGAAGCCACCATGTAAGTATAATTTGTCTTTCAGTTCACATGGACGCAGGAGTCTCATATATGGCAAAAAGACTTCTAGAGCCACAAATCTCATAGCAAAACAGAACGACAGGCGGAGACAAAGGCCAAATCTTCTGTGGTTTTGTGTCTTAAGATCATGCTTCAGTTTCTTGAGCTTTAAAACTGGCACCAAGCCTTGTGATATAAAACTACACTTAACAGTATGTTTTCTCTCCCTAGCTCAGCTCTGGTGATCCTTAAGGTGTTCCCATATACTAAAGATACTGGCCAGCTAAGATCTATTCCCCTCTCCCCCAAACTCGATAATCCTTCAGACTTCTGTCATGCAGCTTTGCGTGTGGTTTTTAGACTAATATTTATCTAATAGCAATCTGCCTAAAATGATGATGAGAGGCTTTCACTATACTAGGCTTAAAGTATATCTTGGAAATCACCTGCTTTTAAAAATACAGGTGTCTCAAATGCCTAGTTTGTTTTTCAGAGTGGGTGCATTCTGGTAACAGTGGGGAGCGTTGGTTACACATCAGTGCTGCATTTAAACGGCAACAGGAGCTTGGGATGTTGGTCCAGTCTGAACTTTTTAGGAGCGCTCCCTTCGCTCTCCATGTCAACAATTTTTAATACCGAAATCCACTGTATTAATTGTAAGACTTCCATGCCAAAAAGGTTCGAAAGTGGACATCTAAGAACAAGCAAGTTGATATGGAGAGAATGGAGCTTGCCTCTTTCAGACATTTGCTCTCTTTCCTAGTCTTCTGCAGTGGAAATCAAGGTGATGCTAAATGTAAACCCCAGCTGTCAATGCATCTCTGCTTTGGCTGCCTTTTCTAGTCCTCTGTGCCTGGATAGTGGGCTGGTCTTGGCTGGCAGCAGCAGGGGTCGTTAAACCTTCCTCAGGGCTCAAAGTACGCTGCTGGCAGTGATTGAGATCAGTGTGCTGGGTCGCAAACAGAGCAGCTTCCTGCCCTCTTGCCAGATAGACACAACATCATCCAAAGAAACTTGGACTTTCGAACTGTCTTCCGTACAACTTTAACCAATAAAAGTGTGGGAGATTGAACTCTTGTTTGCCAGGTAGCAGGACAGTATGCTTGGTGGTAGCGACAGCTTTCTGGATCTGTGCGAATATCTGCAGACAACTACTGATAGCCTTGTCTAAAGGTTTCCCTCCCGCCTTTTAAAGGGTAGTGAATGTTTCCATGATCTTTTTTGGGGACATAACAAACTTATTCTGCCCTGTTTGCCCAGCAGGTCTGAGAGCCTGTGTTTGGGCTGATGAGGGGCTGTATGATGAAGCATTGAGCCACTGGGGTGTTTATGGGCTTGTTCCCTGCGCTTTGTGGACTTTCTGGTTGATGTAGAAAGCACCACTTGGACATGTTGCGGGAGGAGGTGACAATTCGTAAATCGGAACTGATAAGCAGCTACTTGTCTGAAACTTTCTCTCTCTCTCCTATTCCCAGAACAGCTTTCTAGCTTGACTCCTAAAGACTGTCCCCATCTCCTCCTGCAAGCTATATCGGGGCCACTTGCAGCTGCGACGGCTTCCACGCTCACCAACCCCATGGATGTCATCAGGGCTCGGGTTCAGGTAGGAGCTCAGCCTGCTTGACATGTCTGTCTGCAACAACAGCATGACACAGGGGTGGGGTTCGGTCTCAGGGCTTTGATCTCTGTGGCTTCAGGTAAACTGTTCCCCTTCTCTCTCTCTGTTCGTAGGTTGTTTTGTCCTAGATATCATGCTGCTTAATTTGCACTCAGCATTAATAGGAGGCAGCTCAAGTAGCAAGGCTGGGTTTGCCTACCTAGACTGCTCAAATGAGGTTCCCCGGCAGATGTGGCATCCTTCAGAAAAGGAGAGGTACTTCTAGAAGTGTCAGTTTTAGTGAGACAAGCTGTCACATTGATCCAGCCCCTTCTAGATGGGGGCAGATGGGAGGGAGGAGGAGACAGATGTAAGAATCCTCCTTACTGCTGCTTCTTTAGGACTTCTTGCTTTTTTTTTTTTCCCCCTCAGGGAGTCCTGGAGGCTAGATCAAGGTTATTGGAGCACCTGCTCTGTAGTCTCTAGAGTCTTCAGTTGGAGCAGAACCCCCAGAGCAGCTCAGCATGAGGTCTGGCAGCTCTGTGAATATTTGTTCTGGCTTTGCAGGTTGAAGGCAAGAGCTCCATCATCCTCACCTTCAAACAGCTCATGGCGGAGGAAGGTCCCTGGGGTCTGACTAAAGGTCTCTCTGCCCGCATCATCTCAGCCACTCCTTCCACCATCGTCATCGTGGTGGGGTATGAAACTCTGAAGAAGCTGAGCCTCCGCCCAGAGCTGGTGGATTCAAGACACTGGTAGAGGCAGCTGGTGGAAGAGAAACCTTCCTTTGAACCCTTTGAATTTGGACCGTCACAGTTGAAATCTTGGGAGGAGAGGCAACTGTTGTCTCCTTTGTCTCTAGCTGGTTTCACGGTACAAGGCAGAAGCAGGAGCAACTGCAATTCGTCTCTTTAGATTTGACTGTTACACGATGCTCTGCTGCTGTTTCTGCTTAAAACCATCAAAATGTGACCTTCAGCAAGGCCGTTTGCCTGTGACAGTTCATTCAAGAGCAGCCAGGTGTGTGAACGCATCCTGGCAAGTTCTTAATTCCCTTTTTTTAAATTAAAGACTTACTGGCTGAAGCAAAAAGCCGGTTTATTCTTTAAATTATTTTAATCTTTGCCAAACTTCCGAGGAGGGGAGTGTAACAGGCTGCAGCAGAGCCCTCTGGTGGGTTGGGTGCTGGCTGCGGTTGTACTTCAGGAAGCTGGAAGAACAGAATAGACAAGTAAATTTCTCCAATCACCTACATTTATTTCTAGAAGATGTGAGACGAGAGTAACCTGGAACTACTTAAGACCTCATTTACTGCGTTTTGAATAGATCTGTACATACCTTTTTTGTATGTTCTTGGAAAACGTTTCCTATCTCTCATCCTTCAAACAGCAAGCTGGCTGATAGGCAAATTAGGAGTTGAGCTGACTGTAATTAGCTGATGGCAATGTTGACACCTAACCTATGTTTTTAATCTGCTGTTATTTAATTTTTTTTATTTTAGGGAAGCTTATTCTGATTTCTGGGGGACCGAGCGGTTGTTCTGTGGCCTTGTTCAATGTGAGTGTCAATACTGCATGTTCAAGGTGGCTGCTGCCACTTCCCACCTTTAGTTAAAGCACAAACAAATGCAGAGTTTGGAAGTGTGGGATTGCTGTGCTGTCAGCAGCTGAGATGAGAACTGAATGTGACTTGAGCTACAACTGGATGTGAGGTGGGGAAGGAGAAAAAAAAAAAGCTTGTACTGGCTTTTGATCCAGTTCAAACCTGATTGGCATGTTCATATTGAATAAGAAGTAATGGTTCGCTAAGACTTTGTAAGTTTAAATCCTGCTTATCCTGTTTGGGAAGGGCAAGGACGATTCTTTGCACACTCTTGCTGGATCAAAATCTTAAGCTCTGGTCTGTGTTTCTTACCAGATGAAAACGTGCAATCGAGTGGTGAAGCAAGAGGCTGCTCTTTGGGGAGGAGGAATGAAGGGATTTGTTTGACTTCACTCTGCTGGTCTCGGTACTTGAGGTTTGCCTCTCATGACGCCAGCCCACGCGTGGTGCTCATCCCAGTTAGTTGTATGTGTGAGAGGCGAGAGATACGCCTCCAAATAACAGATGTATCGCTGCCTCTGTTCGTCTCACTGCCCTAACAAGGAACTCTTGGTGGTAGTGTTGATCCTGCCACGCTGTAGCTGCTGCTGGGCTCTTAGCTGTCTTTTCACCTGGGACTTGCTAAGCGTGGCTCTTGCCTTCATCCCGACGTCTGCAGTTCAGCCTGTGCGGAGACTGGATGTGCCGCAGTTTCTGCTGGAGGTGGAACAAATACAGACAGATGCTGCTGAAGTTGGAAAGAGACGTTTATGTTTAAGGGCAGAACTTGGTTATAAGATACAATACTCTTTCATGGGGTTGCAGATGAGTCATCGAAGGCCTTTTAATCCTATCTTTGTTTTTTGCAGCATTAAATAAGGTGGTGTACGCCTGAGCTACCGACAGAACTGTTCAAGCAGTGTGTTCTGTAAGCTGCTCTTCTGTCACGTTTTTGTTGTTTGCAAGATGATGCCGGTCGGCTCTTTCTGTAATAGCAGATTCTGCTCTAAAAAGTGGAGCAGCGGTATCACACGATAGCAAGGAGGTGTCCTGAGCATGCACTAGCCCCGTTCCAGGCAAAGGCAGTCGGTAGTAATACCAGTATTAAAAGAAACAATAATAATTAGCCTCTGCTGATTACCAGCAGGGTAAATCTTGGTGCGTGTCGTGAAAGTGGCAGACAGCACAAATGTAGGGAGACATTCTCAAGCTTTCTCTCTTAACCAGCGAAGTTCTTGACAACTAATAAACTTCAGAGACCTTCAATTTGACGCCTGAGTTTAAAAGTGTGTTAGTCTCAGTGAGTGCGCTTGCCAAGGGAGTCTGCCAGTCTCTTGTCATTTCACAACGATGCTTTCATGGTTTTAATGCTTTGCCTTCTGAGTAGCACTAGGAGGGACCTGACCAGCAGAGATTGCCTGAAAAAAAACGATGATGATGGCTGCACACAAAGCTGAACAAGCCAGAAGAAAATCAGTTGCGAGCCCAGACCCTCCTTTACAAACCGGGGTTAGTTCTGGTTAGCAGTATCTTGGCAAGGGGAAACACTGCTTTTTCCCTTTCTGTGCTGAACTTGGATTCTTCTTCTCCCTTTGAATTCTTCAGGCTTGATCGCTTTATTTCATTAAGTGATTGAGAATATTGCTCAGCCCGTGAGCAGACTCAGGTGGATGTTTCCACGGGGATCTAAAGAGAGAGACAGTTTATTATATTTATCACTCCGCTTCCGGGGCTAGCTCGCTGTTTCCTGCCATGAGGCGGCAGATGAAGCATTTCAGCCCTCTGTGATTTTATAATTTTGGGGTTTTTAACGCTTAAGCCAATCTGCCCTGTCCCGGGAGTGAGCGGTGGTCTGCAGGGCTCCCCTGAGGCCACGCCC